GCCCTGAGCCAGAGCCAGAGGCCCAGCAGGACCGAGGCCGACCAGATCCAGAGCCAGAGGCCCAGCAGGACTGAAGCCAACCAGATTCAGAGCCAGAGGCCCAGCAGGACCGAGGCTGCCCTGAGCCAGAGCCAGAGGCCCAGCAGGACCGAGGCCGACCAGATCCAGAGCCAGAGGCCCAGCAGGACTGAAGCCAACCAGATTCAGAGCCAGAGGCCCAGCAGGACCGAGGCTGCCCTGAGCCAGAGCCAGAGGCCCAGCAGGACCGAGGCCGACCAGATCCAGAGCCGGAGGCCCAGCAGGACTGAGGCCGCCCTGAGCCAGAGCCAGAGGCCCAGCAGGACCGAGGCCATCTGGGTCCAGAGCCAGAGGCCCAGCAGGACCGAGGCCAACCAGATCCAGAGCCAGAGGCCCAGCAGGACCGAGGCCAACCAGATCCAGAGCCGGAGGCCCAGCAGGACCGAGGCCATCCAGGTCCAGAGCCAGAGGCCCAGCAGGACCGAGGCCGACCCGATCCAGAGCCGGAGGCCCAGCAGGACCGAGGCCGCCCTGAGCCACAGCCAGAGGCCCAGCAGGACCGAGGCCGCCTGGAGCCCAAGGCGAAAGCTCGACAAGACTAAGGCCACCCAGGGCTCAAGGCAGAGGCTCAGAAAGGCCAAGGGTGCCCATGGCCAGAGCTGGAGACCCAGAAAGGCTGGTGCCACCCGGGACTGGAGCTGGAAACTGATCCAAAGTCCCAGCAAGATCAAGACTTTCTATGACCCAAGTTGGAGCCCCTGCAACACCGAGGCCACTGAAGGCCAGAGCCAGAGGCCCAGCCAGTCCAAGGCTGCCCAGAGCTGGAGCCAGAGCACAAGTCCAGGTTCCGGCAAGACCGAGGTCACCTGGGGACTGAGCCCAAGTCTCAGCAACACACAGACCACCCAGGGCCTGAGACAGAACCCCAGCCCCGGCAGTTAGGTTACTGTCTGAAGGGGCCGCTCGGCCCCTTCACTTCTTGCTGGGCTGCGGGCGATTCTGCCCCTACCACTGGCCACTCAGCAAGGCAGCCTCCTCCAGAGCAATGAGAACCTCAGCCAACATTCCTCTGGTTCCGTGGCTAAATTTATTCCTCTGGTCCCATGGCTAAATTTATTGTATTTGTTCTCTTCGTTTACAAAATTAAAAACTTGAAAAGCCCAGTCCAAGTGGCAACTTGAGTCCCTCTGTTCCCAGAGACAGAAGTCTCAGCCTGGTTTTACGATACTGGGACATAGGGTGTGGGGTGGAGGGTCGGGGTGTGGTGCCCGAGCCAGGGCCGAGAGTAACAGACCAGAGAAGGAAGGAGCAGCCACGAGCCACCGTCCCTGAGTTAAAATTCACATTTTAAGAAGGCTCAGGCTGGAGCATGAGGTCAAGGCTCATTGAAGTTCTGGGGCGACCAGCGGTTTCCCTGAGGAAGGAAGCAAAGGCCAAGATGCCCTCAGACCAGTGAAGAGGCCAGGGCCTGCCCTGCCCTTCTGTTTCATGGTAGCCAACAGCCCTCCTCATCTTCATATTGTGCTCTGGGTCCCAGGAGGCACAGGACAAGGGACCCTCTGGCAGAGGCCCCAGGGCTTTCCTTCACGGCCTGGCCAGATAGAGGAAGACAAGGATGCTGCCTGGAGAGTCAGAGGAAGAAGGCGATTCGGGATGCCACAGTCTTGCAGCCATTGGAGGAAAAGAGCTGCTCGTCCTCAGGGAAGAAGGTGGTGCTGTCCAGCACGGCCTGGACGACCTCATCCCTTGGCTCCAGGCCTAGCTGGGCCAGCTCATTGAGCACACAGTGTTGCACGTGGTGCCTCTGGAGAGGTAGGAAGGGCACCAGGGCATCCAGGAGATGCTCTTCCATGATGCCTGAGCGCCAGAAGCCATCTGCAGGAAGGAGCGATGGGAAGAGGCTGTGCTTCACGGGGATCAGCTGGGCCCTGTCCACCCCCAAAGGAAGGAAGTGCAGGAACGGGGCTGGTCTTAATCCTCCCAGCCACCTTCCAGGCACCAAAGCCTGGGCTGGGAAGTACCGGGTCAGTAGGCAGAGCATCAGACCTGGGAGAGCCTGGCCCACCCCAGGGATCCCAGCCCATCCCTCCGTGTGATCTGGGTGTGAGACCTCAGCCTGGAAACCACCCTGGGGTGGGGTCCTTGGCCGAACTCACGGTTCGGGTTGTCCAGCACGGCCTGGGAGATAACCGGCTCCAGCTCTTGCACGCGGATCTCCTCGCGCTCTCGGCGGCTGCGCCATGCCTCCAACACCAGCTGGTTGATCTGCTCGCCACCAGTGTTGCTAAAAACCACGGGGGACACGGACAGTGAGGACAGGATGTGGCCCTTGCTTCCCACGTGCCACCTAACGCGACCTGAGCCTGGGGGCCCAGCTCAGTGCTGGCAGAAGCCAAACCCACTCAAAACACCCCGGGAACCACTTCCCCTCTCCGGAGCTTGTGCCCTTAACCATGACCCCTGGAAGTTCGCCTATATGTGTCATACACTTTACAGTTTATAGAACACTTTTAGGTCCCTTACCGACTTTCCCTCACCCAGCCTCTAGGAGGACAGTGGGGCATTAAAATTGGCCCTGTTGGGGCTTCCCTGGTGGCGCAGTGGTTGAGAGTCTGCCTGCCGATGCAGGGGACATGGGTTCGTGCCCCGGTCCGGGAAGATCCCACATGCCGCAGTAGTGGCTGGGCCCGTGAGCCATGGCCGCTGAGCCTGTGCTCCGCAACGGGAGAGGCCACAACAGTGAGAGGCCCGTATACCGCAAGAAAAAAAAAAAAGAAAAAGAAAAGATTGGCCCGGTTGTTCAGAAGAGGAGGTGGGAGCTCAGAGAGGTGAAGTGTTTTGCCTGAGGAAACAAAGCTAGGACTCTTAGAGGTAGGATTGAAACTCTAGTCCTGTTTTTCCCAGGCCTGTGTCCTCTTGGCCACAAAAGAGGGAAAACTCTTAACCCAGCAGGGTTCCACAAAGAAACGAGGATTAAGAGACTGAGCCCAGGGAACAGTGGGCCGTGGTTAAGAACCTGCCTGCCAATGCAGGGGACACGGGTTCAAGCCCTGGTACAGGAAAATGCCACATGCCGTGGAGCAGCTAAGCCCGTGCGCCACAACTACTGAGCCTGCACTCTAAGAGCCCACGAGCTGCAACTACTGAGCCCGAGCCTAGAGCCCGTGCTCCGCAATAAGAGAAGCCACCACAATGAGAAGCCCGTGCACTGCAACAAAGAGTAGCCCCTGCTCGCCACAGATAGAGAAAGCCCGCGCACAGCAACGAAGACCTACCGCAGCCATAAATAAATAAATAAATAAATTCATTTATTTAAAAAAGAGAGAGAGAGACTGAGCCCAGAATGGGCTTTGAGAATGTCAAAAGAAAGTCAACCACCTTGAATGACAGTGTCACCAGTGAGGGCGTGGGGGACTTTGGCAAAGCCCAGTGGGCCTGGGGGAACAGTATTCTGTTATGGGACCACAGGCCAAGACTGGAGAGCTGAGACCTCTGACGAGTGTCCCTGCACCCTGCCCGCTGCAAAGCCGGCCCCACCTGATGAAGATGAAGATGGCTTTGCGATAGTTGGTCCCATAGACAACCCAGGAGGAGCCCAGGAAAGGTCTCAGGACCTCTATCAGGCCTGGGGCCAGCTTGTCCATCTCATCGAAGAGGAAGAGAGAGCGGCTGCAGGCAGTGAGGTTTCCCTGGACCCAGCTCTTCAGATCCTTCTGTGGGAGAAAGGCAAGAGTATGAGGGTGTCTGGAGATGCTCCCCCAATCCCAGATTTCTTCCCAAAGCAAGAATTAATCTCCTTCCCAGGAAGATATGGCCTCCCAGAGAGTACCAATCCCTGAATGGGACTGATGGTGAAACTGTGGCCCAGAGAGGGGCAGAGACTTGTCCAAGCTCACACAGCAAGTCAGCAAGAGAACAGGGACTCACACCCAGGCCTCTCACCTGCCTTTTCAGGGCTCCTTCCCTGACACCTACTGCTTTCTAAAAAAAGGGGGAAGGCTCCTTCCTGCTCCCTGAACATTCCCAACAGAGGTGACAACTGAAACAGATTAGCCTGGAAAGTACCTTGCAATCAACAACAGTAGTAAGAGCTAATTGGATTTCCTGATTGCTTACTCTGAGCCTCAAATTGGGGCTAAGGGCTTTACAGAGAGAAGATAATGCAGACTGTCTGGCAAAGGTAAATGCTCAATAAGTAACACCTGCAATTCTATAAGCCCACGTCCCTCACAACAACCCTGGCAGGTAGGTGCCACTACTGGCCCCCAGGAATTAAATCAAGAACTCCCTGCCGGGTGGTACCACCCCAAGCTTTGTTCAGGGTGGGTCCTGAGGAGTGAGGCTTCAACTGGCTGTGTGGCCTGGAGCAAGTGATTCCCCTCTCTGGGCTGAGGACTCACTCCTTCCCTAGGGTCCGGCACTCGACAGTGCAGGCGGATGGTGGTCCAGGACAAAACCAGCCTACCTTGTAGCGCTCCAGGTGGCCAGGGTGGGGGAAGTGGATGACCGGGGAAAAGTGGTGCACATGGGGGCTGCGGAGGCCACCCCGGAAGAGGTAGTGTGCCAGCAGGGAGGTGACATAGGACTTGCCGGTGCCAGTCCAGCCATGCAGAGAGAGGACCAGTGGCTTGGTGGGGGCTGGATCCTGCACGAAGGCCTTCAGTGCCTTCACCACCAGCGCCCTGGCCAAATGCTGGCCCGCCAGGTGCTGTGCCAGGTCACACTCCAGACCTAGGGCCACAAGGACAGTGTCAGAGCTGAGGACACACACCCGCCACGGAAGAGCTCCAGGAAGGAAGTCATGTCTGGAACCTGGTCTGGGGATCCGCGTTCTGGGTCGTTTTCACAGGCTGTCTGCGGAAAGGAGTGCGGCCCTTGGGGTCTCGGCCGCAAGAGTCACCCTCAGGCCTGACTCAGCTCAGCAGCGCCCCCACCAGATGGCCCTCTGGATTGCGCTCAGCCCTCAGTGGGCGCGAGCTGTCGAGAGGGTCTGCCCAAGACTCCCGCCCATCTCCAAGGCAGGCTTCTTCCTTGACGGCCAGTTCAGTGCGGAGGTCTAAACTTCCCCCCAAGGCCCTGCTGTCAAAGGCCTCTCTCCATCCTGGCAGGGCTCTGCCTGGACCCCAAACAGGCATCCCCAAACCCTCGCCCCAAGTCCCGTGCCCCAGGCTCTCAAGGTCCCTCGAAGCCGGGCCCACTTCCGACCCTGGCCGTCCGGAAGTCTGGGGGTCCCACCCTCTGGGGGTCCCACCCTCGGTTCTACTCTCCAGGTCCGGCGCCGGCGCACCCCCGGGGTCCGAGGGCTCCCCAGTCCGCCGGCCGCTCCGGTCCGGGCGCCCGCGGCTGCTCACCCTGGAAGTCGGGCCGGAAGTCACATTCGCAGAAGGCGCCGAAGTTGCAGCGCAGCGAAGTCAGGTCCCAGGCGGCGGCCGCGGCCGAGACCAGCCCGAGCAGCCCGAGGAGCGAGCCCCAGGGCCGGCAGCCGCGCCTCACAGCCGCCATCCGGGTGAGACCGGAGCTGGGTCTGTGGCCGCCCACCTCCTCTCCCGAGAACTACAACTCCCGAAATGCATCGCTCCGCGGCAGCCACCGCCTGTGGCCTACAACTCCCGGCTCCCTTCTCTCCCCTCTCAAAGGCCCGCCCGGTCTTCCCTCTGCAGGCCCGGAAGGTGGCCTCCAGGGGGAGCCCGCAAACCGTCCAATCCAGGACTTTGGGCTGAGTTTCCATGGCCGCGGTAACTAGGGGACCATCACAGTAGCTCCGAAAGAATAATAAATGAAGGATTATGACCACGAAGGGTGACATAATAATTGTAGCAAAAACTTGTGCGGCACCTTACACCTTGCAAAACACCTTTTCTGTGCTCTTTTTTTTCTTTTATATGATTAAAGAGCGCTAATAGCTTTTGGTGAGCACCTACTATGTACCGGTAACGTTAGGTGCCTTATATATCTTATGATAACAGTACCTGTCATATAGAGGAATGGTGATATTTCAGTGAGGTACAGGCACGTGAAGTGTTTTGGCTCACAAAGTAATCAATAAATGATCACTGAAAATACATTATGGAACTTCCCTGGTGGTCCAGTGGTTAAGACTCCGTGCTTCCACTGCAGGGGGCGCGGGTTAGATCCCTGGTCAGAGAACTAGGATCCCGCATGCCGCATGGCGTGGCCAAAAAAAATCCATTATGTATGAAACATGGCAGTCCCTTACCTAGCAGCTACTATGCATTAAGTGCTTTAACAGGAACCCAAAGGGATCAGTTCTGTTACTGTCCCCATTTTATTGAGGAGGAACTTAGGGCCCAACAGGGCCCCCTTATCCAACACCACCCAGCTAGTGAACTGGGCCCAAGTCTGGCTGCTGCCAAAGATCTAATGCACTGTGTCATCCATCCTCTGTTGGTCAAAGGATTCATAAGGTAAAGGACCCCAGTAGTTTCAAATTCAGTGAACAGGGTCCCCAGGCCTCCAGCCTGGCCTGGAATCATGCTGATACACATTGCCTACCTCCCCTACCCATGAAAACAAGACAACTGCTTTCATGGCCCTCCTCAAAGATTTCCTGTGTCACCCACCTGACACACACACACACACACACACACACACACACACACACACACGAAGACTTCTGGGGCCACGTTTCAAAACTTGAAAAGAAATTAGTAGTTCCCACTGTTGAGAAAAGGAAAGAACTCCAGGCGAGGACACCCAGGTTCCAGCCTTCCTCATTCTGCTGCTGTGACCCAGGGCAAGTCCCTTCTCCCTCCAGTTCTGTTTTCCTGAGGGGAGCTGGAATCTTAGATTTCATAAAGCCCTTCCACCCAAACATCTAGGATCCTGGGTTGTACATTTGCGGGATGATTTGCTGTGGCTCCTGAGGCAGGGAATGGGGAAGGAGCAGGGCAGGTCAGTATTTCTCCTACTGGTTGGAATTAGCTGTTGATCTCCCTTCTGGTCTGTGAGCTCCCCCAGGACAGGGACTGGGTTTTAAGAATTGGCTTTAACTCTGGATCCTGGTACAATCTGGAATGTTTCAAGTGCTGAATAAGTATCTGTTGAATGAATTTTTCCACCTTTCACCTGAGAAAAGACACTTCCTTCTACCCCAAAGCCCCCTGAGAGACAGAAGAAAGAGTCATAAAAGTTTATTATATGAAAGAAAGAACACAGCTTCTGTACATCTATTTACAGAACAGACAGATGTATTTACAGCCAGAGGGAGGCATTGGTGTCAGTGAGGGGGCGGGGGCAGGTGCCTGGAGAAGAGTGAGGAGGTGTGAGAAGCCTCCCGTGGCTCAAATACAGGGCACCTCAGCAGGAAGGGGAGAAGCAGAAGATGGAGGGAGAAACAGGGGTTCCAGTTCTTCCTGAAGGAAAACTTGGTGAGTGAGTAGCAGGTGGGATGGAGCCCAGAGTCCACGTAGGCCCCTGGAGGTGCAAGGGAGATCCTGGAGTTGAACCCAGAACGTTCTCGGGCTGATCACAGTGTCCCTGGGGTGCTCTGGGGAAAGGTCTGTGCCCTTCTGTCCCTGTTGCTGCCCGCAGCTGCAGAGGGGAAGGGTACAAGGGGGTCACAGCTCGCTAGAGCGGACGGCAGGCTCCAGTTTGTGGGACAGGGCAGTGAGGACCTTGTCGAACTTCTCATAGCGCCGGGCCTGGCTGCTGCTGGCGCCCTGGCTGCCCCAGAGGAGGCGCATCTGGAACTCGGTGCTGAACACCTCGAGGAGCTCTGGCCGGGCCTGGAACCCTGCAGGGTGGGGCACAGGGGTCAGGGAAACACCATCCAGCTGCGGAGGCTGGGACTCCTGCTTGGAGCCACCACATGCCTCAGGGCCTCATTCCAAGGGACCTCCCCCCACCTCCACCAGGGATCCCACAAGGTTTGCTGATGGACATGACCAAGAGTTTAGCACCCAGTCTTTGTCCTACTATTTGCAACATATAATTTAAAAATGACTAGAAGATAAAATATTAAAATTAATTTGGGGGCTTCCCTGGTGGCGCAGTGGTTGAGAGTCCGCCTGCCGATGCAGGGGACACGGGTTCGTGCCCCGGTCCGGGAAGATCCCACATGCCGCGGAATGGCTGGGCCCGTGAGCCATGGCTGCTGAGCCTGCGTGTCCGGAGCCTGTGCTCCGCAACGGGAGAGGCCACAACAGTGAGAGGCCCATGTACCAAAAAAAAAAAAAAATTAATTTTGGGGGGGATTTTTCTTTTCTTTTTTGTATTTTTCTGTAAATTCCAAAATTTTTCCTAAGAAATGTGTATATATTTTGTAAGTAAATGTAAAAAAGTAGTTTCTTTTTTGTCCTTTCTGAAGAAGAAAGGCAGGAAAGACACATGCCAGATGCTCACGGCATTTACCTCCAGGTAATTGTTGGTGATTTGTTTTATCTTGGTTTTGCTCAGCTGTTATTTCCAATTGGTCTACAGAGAACTTTTGTGACTTAAATACTGCCTAGAAAAGTAAAAGGTGGATTATCTGAAGACGCTATCTCTCTGCTCCTTCCACAAGGAGGAGTTCTACTTTTTTTAAAATTAATTTATTTTATTTTATTTATTTTTGGCTGTGTTGGGTCTTTGTGGCTGTGCGCGGGCTTTCTCTAGCTGCGGTGAGCAGGGGCTACTCTTCGTTGTGGTGTGCGGGCTTCTCATTGCGGTGGCTTCTCTTGTTGTGGAGCACGGGCTCTAGGTGTGCGGGTTTCAGTAGCTGTGGCTCGTGGGCTCTAGAGCGCAGGCTCAGTAGTTGTGGCTCGCAGGTTTAGTTGCTCCGTGGCCTGTGGGATCTTCCTGGACCAGGGCTCGAACTCGTGTCCCCTGCATTGGCAGGTGGATTCTTAACTACTGCGCCACCAGGGAAGCCCAGGAGTTCTACTTTTTGACTAGACTGTGAGCTCCTTGAAGGCAGGGCAGGTCTGCCTCAGCCCCAGGGCCCCAGGCCGAGTGCTTTGTAAACAACCTTGTAAAGTAGGCCTGTTAGGATGCCCACCCACTTCACAGATGAGAAAGCAGAGGCTCAGAGAAGCTAAGATACACAGCTATGGTGCTCTTTGAATCATCTCTTTGTCCCCCGCACCCAACCGGGTGCCTGCCACTAACAACTGCTTGTCAGACTGCTGAATAAGTGAAGAAAAGGGGTGAGAAAAAGAAGTCAGGGAAACATGCAGGAAAGAGGGATGGAGAAATGTGAAGGGGTGTTTGGAGGAGAGGGGAGAGCAAGTCATGTGGAGGGAGGCCCAGGCTGGCAGGATCAGTGGCGGGATCGCCCGCAGCTGCGACCCATGACTCACCCTGCAGCTTGACCTCGGCATTGGTGTGATACAGGCCGCCGTGGTGTGCCACGGTGCGGGCAGCCTCCAGGTGGGCCAGCACCACCTCCACGCCGTGCTCTGTGCTGCCCCAGGGCTCGGGGCCCTCAGCCGGGGCGGAGTCACACTCCAGCAGAGTGATGAGTGGCAGCACGTGAGGAAATGTGGTGTTGCTCAGCGGCGGGCCTTCTGCAGGGAGGGACACACGGTGCTTAGAGGTCTCCGAGGGCCCAGCCATCCACCACAGTCCCAGAAACCGAGGATGTTTTAGGGGAAAGGGGCTGCCTGAGGTCCCAGAGAGAGCACCCAGGGATTCTGACTCCTAAGACAAACCCTTCGGATTCCTCCAGCTGAACCCACTGCAGCCTTGGCCGAGCTCAGGGGCTGAGGCTGGACCTGGACGTGACATACACGGTTGCCAGATGCAGAAAGTGGGTGCGGGAACAGCCTGCACAAAGCTCAGTCAAGCCCTCATCATCCTCCCCACGGGGAGAGTCTTTGCTGGCCCAGAGAGGGCTGGAACCTGTCCAAGGTCACGTAGCAAGGTGGGAGAGGTACCTTTGCCTTCATTGAGGCTCTTGAGAAATGGCTTGAGCTTCTTCTCGTAGAGGATGGCTCCCTCTGTGTGTCGCTGCCGCAGAGTCACCCATGTCTGCTCCAGCCGGGCAATCTGGGGAGACCAGACTGTGAGCGACCGGCCAGGGAAGGGGCCTGCTGGGGCCACAGGCCACTCTGCCCAGCGGACACCCAGATGTGGGATAATAATTATTAGTATAGTCACCATTCATGAATCTGGGACAGTGCTGACTGCTTTTCACACGTTTCCCATGAAGCTCTCCCAACAACCCATTTTACAGATGAGGGAACTAAGGCTCAGAGAGGGGAATGACTTGCCCAAGGTCATTCCAAAAGTAAGTGGCAGAGCTGGGAGTTGAGCCACTGCTCTGGGATCCTGCTGTCACTGTTGACGAGGCAAAGGAGAGGAAGTGTAGTGTGCATGAGGTCCGGGCTGTGAAATTAGACAGACCTAGTTTGAATCCCAACTTTTTCGGCCTTTGAATGTGACTTTAGGCAAGTACTGCTCTGCCTCAGTTTCTCCATAAGTGAAATGAGAACAGTAAAGGCACTCCCTTCATGAGATTTTTTTTGAGGAACTGGTGCTTCTAAAGTACTCGATGTAGCGCCTAGCATATAGTCAGTGCTTGCTAAATGAG